AAGAATTATAATTTTATTGTTAATTGTAATTTCAATTAATTAAAAACATTAAATAATACAATGATATATTTAAGAACACTTTTTTTTAATACACTGTATAATAAAATTTTTATTGAAGTTATACTTCTATACGCACGGTCAGCGTTGGAAATTTGCATGGAAGTAAATCTGTGAAACAATTACATATGTAACATAATGAGTAAGAGAGAGACAGAAGATATATTTTCTTTCTCTTTTTCTCTCGAGAATAAAAATGTTCCTTTTGTATATGTATTTAATATTATACATATTATATATACAGTGTGGAAACCAATTATGGAATAGAATTGTTTGTGTCCTTATTTTAGAAAATAATAAAAAACGTTGAGATAACTTACCTTTTTAATTTAAATGTACGCTTTTTAGGCATAAATTTGAATGTACAGGGTAATCAATGCAAGGCTGGCATAGTGCATAATCTGTATTTTAAATGAAATACCCTGTATATTTTTATGTTTTTAAAAGCTCCTTAACGACCTGATTTTACCGAACTATATCATGTAGGATCTATAATGAATAATACAAAGTGCAATTTTAGGGGCAAATATAGTCTCACCATATGAGTAAGAGGCTTGAAGTATTCATAATTAAATTGATGAAATGGTAGATGAAATAATGAAGTATGCCTAGTTCCATAAATAGTGTTAAGACCTAATCGATTTAAAAGTTCAGGACAATGTATCAAATTATTAGCAATTTTGTAAAGGAATATTGGGCAAAAATAATCTTTCCGCCGACTCATAAAAACCATTTTCAAGTGATCAGCTAATATACTATAACTGTATGTGATAGAGAGGTCATAAAATGTAGTACGGTAATGATAGTGTTTACCAAATTTATGCTGAACAGGATCAAGCTTGTCAATAGATGTTTGATAGTAAGGTCCCCATACAACTATCGCATATTCTAGTCTGGATTGAATGATACTATTAAAAAAAATTGGTAAAACAAAACATGAAAATTGAGAAGTGTTTCTAGTTATAAACCCTAATTGTTAAAATTCACTGTTGATGGTGACTTCTAGATGCTTACGAAATGCTAATTTAAACTCAAAATAAACACATAAATCGTTAACACAGTCCTGCCTAGACAGCTGAGTGTTATCAATGCTATAATCGTAATTTAAAATTGTTTGCTTCATGTGAAAAGTAATAACACAACACTTATCAATGTTCAATTTTGTTTCATTAAGTTTGCACCAATCGCTAAATCTGCTGAGATTCTCTTGTAGCTGCATTTGATCATACTGACCAGTAATGACTTTATAAATTTTTTTATCATCAGCAAAGTTAAGAAATTTTGAATAAAAAAATCGTAAAATAGTTTCGAAACACAATTCAGATTTCTGCTTTATAATCTGAGCCTTCTAAAAATTGCAAGGCAAACAGACGTTGATAAAAGATGTTAAAAGAGACATGGGGAATCTAAAATTTGCATTCCACGACACGTATTTTACAACTAAGCAGAAATCCTTAGCGAATTGTGCTTCTAGTACTCACACAGAGTAAATCCGAATAAAATGAGAAAAGGCAGCAAATATTTGATTTCACGCAAACAAATCCTATGTATCTCTTGATACGTATTTCGACCTAATAGGTCTCGTCAGAAGACCTATTCATAGGGGTTCTCAACGTGAAAAATCAATATTTTCTGCCTTTTAGGAAGCAACAATAACATGGCTTCAATACGGACGCAATAGCGACATCTAATTACAAAAATCGTAAAATAGTTTCGAAACACAATTCAGATTTCTGCTTTATAATATGAGCCTTCTAAAAATTGCAAGGCGACGTTGATAAAAGATGTTAAAAGAGACATGGGGAATCTAAAATTTGCATTCCACGACATGTCTTTTACAACTAAGCAGAAATCCTTAGCGAATTGTGCTTTTAGTACTCACACAGAGTAAATCCGAATAAAATGAGAAAAGGCAGCAAATATTTGATTTCACGCAAACAAATCCCATGTATCTCTTATTATATATTATAGGGGTATTATAGAAGAGCTATTCATAGGGGTTCTCAACGTGAAAAATCAATATTTTTTGCCTTTTAAGAAGCAACAATAACATGGCTTCAATACGGACGCAATAGCGACATCTAATTACAAAAATCGTAAAATAGTTTCGAAACACAATTCAGATTTCTGCTTTATAATCTTAACATCTTTTATCAACGTCTGTTTGCCTTGAAATTTTTAGAAGGCTCAGATTATAAAGCAGAAATCTGAATTGTTTTTCGAAACTATTCTACGATTTTTGTAATTAGATGTCGCTATTGCGTCCGTATTGAAGCCATGTTATTGTTACTTCTTAAAAGGCAGAAAATATTAATTTTTCACGTTGAGAACCCCTATGAATAGGTCTTCTGACAAGACCTATTAGCTCGAAATACGTATCAAGAGATACATAGGATTTGTTTGCGTGAAATCAAATATTTGCTGCCTTTTCTCAAATTTTGAATACTTAATGACTTTCTCAATATCGTTAACAAAGAGGACAAAAAGTAGAGGACCACAATGTGACCCCTGTGATACTCTAGAGAGGACATTAACAGATTGAGACAACACACCATTTATCTTTATGCTCTGGGTGTTACCCACAAGAAAACTATCCTACCAATTAAGCCATTTGCCAGCTATACCAATGGCTCCTAATTTACTGATTAAATAACAATGATTTACTTTATCGAATGCCTTTGAGAAGTCAGTATATATGCTGTCCACCTGGTACTTCCACTCAAATGCACCCAATATATCATTTTTGTAGACCAACAAGTTTGACACTGTGCTCCTCCCCCTTTGAAAGCCATGCTGTTGCTGTATTATTATATTATTTGTTAGTTTTGATAAGTGAGAAGGTACTAGTTTGTCGAGAAGTTTTGGGATTGCTGACTATACAAATTCCTTGGTATTTTTTAATATCTTCATTTTTACCTAAATTAAAAATGGGTACAATACAACTGTTCTTCCAGAAAGGAGTAAACTCATTAGTCGTAAGAGATAAATTATAAAGATATTTTAGGGTCATAGTAAGAGAGCATAGACAGTGCTTTAATAATACCGGTGGGATTCCATCAGGCCCTGAGGAGAATTTATTTGGAAGTTTTCTTAATTCATCAAACAATGACATAGTGTCAACTTGAATTAGGTTTACAGGGTCAATGTGTCTGACACAGTTTTCAAAATCTGGAATGGGAGCACCTTAATCTTTCTTATATACACCAGAGAAGAACTCAGCAAAAAGGTTAGCAATTTCGATATTGCCCTGTGCCCTTCTATTACCTAGATACATTTCTTGGGGGTAACTCGAAGATTTGCAGTGCTCAAATATTGGCAGTTTTCTTTATGTAATCTTTTACAACGGACTCACCAACCGAGTTTTGCACCCTACGTAGGTAAAACTATGAGCGTTTAATATGATTTGCTTTGGGCACACCTTTTAATTGGTCTGAGCAGGCACCAGTTCCGCAAACTAGTCCATATGAACATTTTCTGAGAGCATTATGATGGGTAGTTTCACTGGGCCTGGGATTACTCAAGAGAGACTGCGTAGCACTCGACACAGCAGAACTTATGACTGATGTCACTCGGATTTTTAGTGGGTTTATTATCAATTTTACTCGTCAGTATGGATTGTCTATTCAACACAATCTCTTGTTGGGCTTTTTGTATAGCCATATTCAAACCATCCACCTTCGATGAAACTTGGACCGAGTAATTTATAAGTGCTACCGAATGATTATTCGCCACAACCTCCAGGGCTGCACTCAGTTTTATTGTAATATGATATCATCTTTAAAGGAAGAAATCAATGCATTGAGTATTGGTGTCAAATCAGAATCAATCAAAGTTTTTAAACTGTTTAAAATTATGACAACATTAAAGGGAGACTACCGTCATAAACATCATCAGTCATGTCAACTGAGGCTTTGGGCGACTAGCTGCTTCTATGTTTTTCCGACAATCTGGGCAGACAAATAGCATAACCCTAGATGGTCTGGGTATGCACCGAATTTCTTGCACTTGTAAGCCTGTGCAAATACGGCATACAAATCTCGAACATAAGTCATTGGAATAGCCAAAAATGCCTGTTTTGCTGCATTTGTCGGTATGGCAGTCTTTGTTGCACTTTAAACATAACTTAGACATTATTTTTGCAAATGAATGAGGTACACTTGACCTCAATATATTCTTAACTTAAAATAAGCCTTTAAAACCGGAGTCATATCAAAATTAACAATTTTGGAAGGTGCTACACTCTAACTGAACACAATGAAACAGCATACATAATATTTTGCACTGTACAAAAATTTTGCAAAAGTTCAAAAATAAACAAACACATGTGGACATGTGGACATAACGTCTAGAAGATACCTAAATCTTACCTATTTTAAAAATTTCAGCCAACATCCTGGTATATATACCTCTTTTTTCATTTATTTTAATTATATGTATTTTTTTCATACGGAGGAATTACTTTTTCTCACTATACTTGTTAGTTCCAAAAAAACACTATTACCGTGATAATAAGATAGTCGATTATTAAGTACCAAGTCGAACAAAACAATACACGGGTAGGTACTAGTAGATTTTTATGAAGCGTGCCCGTGGTAGTTTAAGAGAATAATGTGGTTACTTTATATCAGTGGTAATGTGCAGAAGTTTTACTGTACATAATGTTAAACTAAAAATGCTGTAACTTAATTCATCAAAAATATAAAGATGTTTCAAATAGTTGAATTCACTAGAAAGGACGGAATAATATACAAGGTAACCTTCACGCTTACCCAATTTGAGACACAAGACTATAATTTATTGTTTCAGACAACTAAATATTTTTTACTTAGTAGCATAAAGTAAGCAAATAACTTGATTCAATAAACGAAACTTGTTGCCAGACTTGAAACGAGACTAAAAAAAAAAGAAATTGATGTTGGGTTTAAAGGATAAATAATCAAATAGGTATAGGTCTCATAACAAGTTTATTAGTTTTAATATATATTTTATGCACACTTTAGTTAAAATGGATAAAATATATTTACATTTTTATGTTGAAACACCTGCAAATTTTTGATCAAGTTCTTCTGCAGAATATTTATTATTTGTAGCTGCACTCCCTAATAAAAGTTTAGTTTCCCCAGAATTACTGCATTCCGTATCCCTGGTATCAGCATTAACAATTAGATCACTTAAATATTGTCTAAAGCTAGATAATGGACAACTTAATTCACATCCATTAACGCTAATCTGTTTGATATTGTCCCCGTCTTTATTAAACACTTTAACTACGTTCTTCCAGTTTTCTTTATGTAGTTCTATATAAATTGTGGATGCAAATGCTGGAGGAAAGCTGGGACTAAACGCACCAAATGCATTTAAAATTGATGCTACATTTGCATCGTGTGCACTGTACATTTTAAACTTATAGGAAGAGCTTGGATCAGCTGCCATTGATTCCAAGTAAGTCACAACTTCATTTAAAAATGGGCCAATAACTAAAAATAAAAAAGGGCATAAAATAAAGTGCAAAATAGCTAATATTTCAAAAATATTAAGAATCCATTTGGTCCCAGCGGTTCGTTTACGAACCATGTATTATTATTATTTTTTTTTTTGGTGAAACCATATATTATTTAATTTCAATATTTTAAGTTATTGCAAAAGTTGTCTAATTTGTGAAAAAGATAAACGGGAATATGTTGTAAAATTTGTACGTAAAAAACACTTTGAAATTTGAGCGGTTTGTTTACGAACCACTGGGACGATTCATGTTTATTGCTCATAGCCGATATGATTCTGCAAAATAAGTTAATTGCTCTTTATTTGTATATAGTAGTACCTACGAGAAGTTGCTTGCATTTTTTTATTATTTCGCCAGCTTTTGAAGAGGTATATTATATTTTACTTGGTCATTTTCATAGTGTTAAAATGCCGAAAAAATGTTTAACTTCAAAGGAACTTGAACAGGCATTAGAAGAAGTTGTTACCAATTTGGAAATAGAACGAAAAGGAGGTACGTAAACAATATTTTTTTTTTTTCATATGGCAATAGGTATTTATGTCGTTTTTTATACATTTGCAGCATAATGCCGATGCTGTTTATATTTCACCCACGGTAGACGAATTGACAGACGAGGAACATATTGACGATGTAGAAATTTTACCGGACGCCCACTTACCAACTCCAGGCATCGCCGGAACATTTGAAATTCATTTGAATGATGCTAGAGTTATGGAAGATGACCATTATTCATCTGATGAAGCAACAGCACCATCAAAAAAATGTAAACTAAATCGTGTACATCCTACAAAATCATCTGATCCAAAATGGAAAAAAGACCAGGTAACTTATACACATACTCCTGTATCCAACGAGATTTTAGAGAACAAATTCAACAAAAAATATTTGAAACGACGCCACTCGAAATATTTTTTATGTTTTTTGATAATGAAGTTTTAGATTTAAGTGTCAATTTTTCTTTAGAATATGCGCGAGCTAATAATCGTCAAGATTTTCATTTTGATAGAACAAATCTTTTAAATTTTCTAGGTGTTATAATTTTGACTGAATATCACACTTTACCACAAATGTACTGTCAAATGTACATGTTTGTACTGGTCAAATGACGAAGACAAAGGTATTGATATTGTAAAAAAAAGAAATATTCATTTATCAGACAATAGTAATTTAGACAAAACAGACAAATTTAGTAAAGTGCGTCCATTTTTAGATGGTATGAATATAAAAAAATTACAGTTTGGAATATTTTCTGAAAGTCTCTCTATTGATGAACAAATGATACCATATTTCGGTAAACATTCATGCAAAATGTTTATAAAGGGTAAACCAGTACGATTCGGTTTCAAAATATTGTGTCTTTGTTCTTCAGATGGGTACTTATATTATTCATTGCCATATGCGGGTGCAGAAAAGAAAAAAGAAAATACAAGCCTTGGGTTAGGTGGTTGAGTATTAACTGATTTGCTATTAGTAGTAAAAAATCCTATAAATCATCTAGTTTTTTTTGATAATTTTTTTTCTTAATTTGATTTGTTTATTTACTTGAAAAGTAAAGGATTTTTTGCTACTGGCACCTTGCATGATAACAGCAAAAAAATAGGTTCTTTAGAACCTGCCAAAGTCATAGCTAAAAGGCAAAGAGGTACATTTGATTCGGCATATGACGATGACTCAAAGATAAGTATAGTTCGCTGGAATGATAATTCTATGGTTACAGTTTGTAGCAATTATTTGAGTGTCGAACCAACTAGCACTGTCAAACGTTATAACAAAAAGGAAAAACAGGACATACAAATATGTCAGCCCTATGTTATTGCACAATATAATAAATTTATGGGGGGCATAGACTTGCATGATAATGGAATAACGAATTACAGAGTAAGAGTTTTGGGAAAAGAATGGTGGTGGCCTATTTTTTCTAATGTTATTGACAGTGTTATAGTAAACGCATGGAAAATATATAACATTGTTTTTAATAACAATAAAATGTCCCAACTGAATTTCAAATCTTATTTAGCTTTGCGGCTTTTGAAAAGCACCTACGTAGCTGTCCACCACCCAATAAATTCTATAGACGAAGTTCGGTTTGATCGTGCAGACCATACTTTAGTTTCTACCGAGTCTAAAAGTCGTAGACGATGTAAAGTATGTCATAGACATACTTTTTATATGTGCCGAAAATGTAATGTACATTTGCATGTAAACTGTTTTGAACTAAACCATAAAAAATAAATTTTTCCGCAAATCGCCAGGAAATTTTGACATTTCTGTCAAAATTTCTTGAAGAAAAAGTCAGGACTTCCTTACTGTAAGGAAATGATATTTCCGTACAGTTGTTAGTGTTCTACATAAATGATAGAAAACACATTGCTTATAAGGAATAATAACTTATTGCAAGGGTTGACTTTAGCATTGAATAATTGGCCCATAATGTTGAAGATTTCATCTTTAAACAAAGGTCTAGGAAGTATGCCATTACAACATTTTCTGAGAAAGAACTCGTATTTTTACTCATGCGATAATCCATAAAACGTCTGTATGCATTTTCGTACTTTTCCCTTGATTTCTTTGGCAATAATTCTAATGAAGCAGTATTCACTGCCTCAGCCAGCTCTGGAGGAGTCCCAGGAATGAAAATTTCATCATCACTTATCATTTTACTTTCGAGAACACCAGCAATTAAATTTATAAGCGTCAAGTTTGACAACTCAACCTCAATACGTTTTCATGGTAACCCAAGTAATTTTATTAGGAATTTCAAAGCACCATTTATTTGGGAATAAAATTATCGCGTTTTTTTTTAAATCAATCAATATCTGTCGAATTTTAAACGATTTGCGGAAAAATAGTATGTTTACCTCGTAGGAAAAGCCACATTCCTGGACTCTGTGTTGCTAAGTCTCGGCTTGCGCCTCGACTTAGCAATCTTCACAGTCGTTCAGTAATGTTAAGCTTTTCCTACCCGGTAAACAATGTACTATATTTTTGTATTTTACGTTCACTTTTCCTCCCAGTGGTGCATTTACGAACCAGTCCATAATGAGTTTTCTAGTAAAAGTAGAGTAGTTTATTTTGTAATTATAGTTGTAACTGTTTGTATAAATAAGAAGTAAATCATTTTGTATTGTTTTTGTAAGCAAAATAAATATATTTCAATTACTAACACTTTTGTTTTGTTCATCGATCTTCCCAGCGGTTCGTTTACGAACCACCTTTAAAAAAAAACTGCTTCATAAAAATTTTTAATTTTTTGAAAAACGTGTTTCTACTATCACCAGAAATATGATTAAAAAAAATTGTGTGAATTATTTTGGTTTTTAATACCTTGGGATCATATGGGAATAAACATGCACGCCTCCTCAGAAGAAAAATAAAGTAAGTGAAAGAGTAGTAAGAGTATTTGTGGTAGATTTTTTAAATAATTTCAATAAATTATTATTTTGGCCCCTGACGCCACCTGTTAACACATTAACAAAACATACGTTATTTACTTCTCACGTACCTGTCAAATTGAGGTCAAAATATGATAAATTAATAAACATAAATAAAAACCATTTGATAGTAGATTTAATTATTATATAAACTAAAGAATAATTATGTTTTTTTCCATAGCTAATGTTAAAGTGTTGCTATATTAACTGTTTTGAGTAGCTAAAGTATCACTTTAACCGCAAGGGTAGATAAAGTGACACTTTAACAGCAAGAGTAGATAAAATGTTTTAACTTTTTTTTATTCAATAAAATTTGCAAATTCAAACACATTGAGGACTAAAAACTAAAATTTTACAATTAACATTATTAGAAATATCTATTTTTGGAGCATCACAACTTGTACTCGTTTGCTTAAATACTTGATTCGAGGTACTGGATAGATTTTCTGTAACATTTGTTTGACATTTGTTTACAGAGTAATTCATATCCCTAGCAACGGAGCAACACAATTGCGATTTTTGTGCTAAAAATTACAATTTTCTTTGAAATTCTATTTTTCACCTGAACTTAAATTCTTGCTGTAGAAAAAAATGTTGTATTGCACACGACGATAAAACCGCATTATCTTCTCGAGCATAATTAGCGCCTCGACTAACGTCTCGACGCTAAAAAACGCTCTCGAAGATAAAGTTCAATTTTATCGTCTTGTACAATAAATAATTATTTAAATTAATAATTTTAACTATTTTAAAATGAGAAATATAATAAAAATTTAAACAGATGATTCAATGTTGTTATTAATTTAATGACATTTATGACGTTTAAAGTTTGGCAATCGTTATAAGTCAAATCTTTTAATGGCAGATATTCTTTTAATTTTATATTTTTTATTTAAGATCTATATTTTATTAGTTATTTTTATACCGTTTATAATTTAAACCTACTTAGAGTAAATGTATGATGACTAAAAACGGATGATCGACAGTAGTTAATCGATTTAAAGAACCGCTATTTTCTGGCGCTACCAATGACGACGCTATCTTGTAGCGTCAGTTACGTTACCCGTGACGACACCATATTGTGACGCTAGTTCCGTAACGTTCGCCTCAGAATTTTACTGTAGAAAAAAAATAGTACAATGCCAGTATAGAAGCTTCGCTTTATAAAGGGTTTGGGAGAAGAATGTCTATTATAAATAGGTAGACAAAGAATTCGAGATTACCACAATATGACGTAGAAAGTGAAAAGTGAACTAAAAGAAATAGTCAGCAAAACAATAATTTTAGAAAATTCAAATAAATCGATAAAACAACGAAAAGCACAGAAAATAAAATACAATCTCTTAAACGATATACGACATCAAAGACAATTTTATGAAGAACGAAGAAGGTAAAACTAAGACATAGATGACGACAGACATTCTGCAGCTGATGGAAGAAAGAAGAAAAAACAAGAGCAATAACTCTATGTATAAATCATTACAAAGAGATATACAGAAAACGATCAGAGAAGCCAAACAGAAAGAACTGAAAAAAAAATGTC